TCCCCCGCCGCGCGAAAGCGCGAAGCGGGGGATATAGTATTCACGACCGTCCGTACGTACGTCCGTACGTCCGTACGTCCCACCTGTTTGTTGCCGCGATATCTCAAGAACTAAACACTGGATTGTCTTCATATTTGGAACTATGGTGTATATACAGACTCCAGTCGGTTTTGGTGACCTTGATCCCATTTTCAAGGTCACAGCAGACAAATCTGCTTTTAGAGTTGGAAAACGGTGTTGCCGCGATATCTCAAGAACTAAACACTGGATTGTCTTCATATTTGGAACTATGGTGTATATACAGACTCCGCAGACACCAGTCGGTTTTGGTGACCTTGATCCCATTTTCAAGGTCACAGCAGACAAATCTGCTTTTAGAGTTGGAAAACGGTGTTGCCGCGATATCTCAAGAACTAAACACTGGATTGTCTTCATATTTGGAACTATGGTGTATATACAGACTCCGCAGACACCAGTCGGTTTTGGTGACCTTGATCCCATTTTAAAGGTCACAGCAGGCAAATCTGCTTTTGGAGTTGGAAAACGGTGTTGCCGCGATATCTCAAGAACTAAACACTGGATTGTCTTCATATTTGGAACTATGGTGTATATACAGACACCGCAGACACCAGTCGGTTTTGGTGACCTTGACCCCATTGTCAAGGTCACAGCAGGCAAATCTGCTTTTGGAGTTAGAAAACGGTGTTGCCGCGATATCTCAAGAACTAATCGCTGGATTGTCTTCATATTTGGAACTATAGTGTATATACAGACACCGCATACACCTGTCAGATTTGGTGACCTTGACCCCATTTTCAAGGTCACAGCAGGCAAATCTGTTTTTGGAGTTGGAAAACGGTGTTGCCACAATATCTCAAGAACTAATCGCTGGATTGTCTTCATATTTGGTACTATGGTGTACAGGCGGGGGATATTTCGTCACTCTGTGACAAATACTTGTTATGTCATAAATTCTGCAACAGGGGCGGGGGATATAGCCACGTTAGTGGCAAACTCTTGTTTGAATATCCGACGCCAATACAAGATGATATTCTTTGCTTATATATTTGACGATTTCCACAATATCTACACAAGCAGTCGTCATTAAACAATGAATTCATTTGATTCAGAGTATCCACCATGTCTATTGTATCATTGTGTTATTAACAATTGGTTTGAACACAAATGACTGGTTTCATAAACAAACATTGTTATGACATTGTATAGAACTTACTCCCTCTCCCTTCTAAATGAATCATTTGCAGCCTGTTGAGTCGACTCTTTGGCAACAGCTTCAACATAGCCTCCAGTCGTCCGTTCCATGCTTTTTAAACTTCTCTGGTTGATGGGTTTGATATTTAATGTTGAAAGGAGATTATTCATCCTGTCTGGTCCCCCGACGCTATCGATCATAGCTGTAAATAAATATTAACCACAATATAATTATACGAATGTATCTAATATTTTTTTTAGGAATGAGGGAGTGATGTGGGCCTGTTCATATAGTTGGCAGTAAAAATTCAAAGTTAAATCAATACTTTTTTAAATCGGTCAAAGCTTCCGCGCACCCGATCGGACTGGGAGCAATACTGACTTAAATTTCACCCCCGGCCACCTAGACACAAGGACAACTGTCACAAGCGTCCAATGTCTCACCCTTTTCCCATGTTGAAGCATCATGGAAAAAAAGCTTACTATACTTACTTACCTTTTGTTGAAGAAACAAGACAACATTGCCAACATAAGACATTATTAAAACATATGATATCATCGTGACATGAACAATAAGAAAGGCATGACGCTGAAATATCTGATCGAAAACAGGATGAGGAAAACTGTATGAGAGAATTTTATTGGTCATTAAATGTAAAACAAAAATAAAATTTACCTGTTCCAAGCTTTGTGTTGATAACATAACATGGCATCCCTGACTTCCCTTTCTTCTCCCATGCTCAAAGACTTTTAGACAGCCATAAAGACATCAAACCTACCAAAATGAAGTTATGAAAGCCGAGGCACACTACACCGACTCGACATGCCGCCATTGGGTTGCAACTGCGCATGAACGGAAGCGACATATACGTAAAAACACCCGAAAAATATACATGCACATAAATTGATTTGAGGAATGTATGGGCGGTGGATATTGACATAAGCTTAGTTATGCACGACTTGAAAATATGAAACAATGCCAAAACGAAATATTAAAATGAGGCGTCATGAAATTTGCAGTCATTGACTGGTTGCAAGAAATACACAATTAATTGAGACCATATAAAAGGAATCGGGAATAATCATTCCCACTTAACTCAGCTACATGGAATGCGGGTGCAAGAAGCACAGTGAATTTGCACATGGAAAGGAGTTTAAGGTACTCAAACTGTCTTGGAAAAAAATACCCAAATGCATCGTGAACAAATTAATAGACAAACATTTGTTGACCGAAAAACAAAATCTGCTCTGCATTGCCTGTGCTGATTATTGCCGTGATTCTATTCTCAAGGAACATTTAACAAAGTGTCACATCTATCATCGACGACATACACATCGGCAAATGTACTCAGAACGAACTAGCAGCTATAGCATCAGCTTTAGGCAATTGTCAACATGATGCAATGCAAAAGGAAGCACGTGCCACCAAATGTTTATCTCTTGACGATTTCAATAACTATGACGGCCAAAAATGGCTGAATGACAGAAACCCCATAATTATTGCATTCCTTAGGGGATTAAGCAACCTTCAGGAAGGTGATTGTAACAAAAAGATATTGTCTATGATACTTTGTGTTGAAAAGTTACTGTTATGCTGTTGTTTGTCAGTTGTTGCTCCCCTTTCCTTCATGACAAATGTTTTCACCTATCTCTGTACTGGCAGCAAAAATGTATGTCAGTTAATGTCTTAATCATCCCCATCTGGCTCATACACCACCATTTGCAACTGGCTAAATGAGCCAACTTCTGCTCCTATACATGTCCCCGCTGGTTATGATCTCATAACATTTTTTGACAATAACCAGGTGTTGGCACATTACCCTGTACTGTCCCAGGACCATGTCCTACAAACACAGCCTCAATTGTCGCCATTCGTGTGGCTAAACATGAGCCCCGATACCTTAAATGTGACGCGAGAGGTTTATGATTCAAACATAGATGATTGTAAGAACTTCCCCTTACACAGGAAGAAGTTCATTGAATAACAAATTAATCATGTGTTTCACCAGCAAATACATGATGTGAACATTACTGATATGTTTGATTCTGTTCCAGTCACATCACCCCACACCACCAAGGCCAGTGACTTCATTTTGGAGACGTAAAAGGCGACTAACGGGATCGGGTGGTCAGGCTCGCTGACTTGGTTGATGCATGTCATCGATCCCAATTGCGTGGATCGATGCTCATGACATTGATCACTGGATTGTCTGGTCAAGACTCGATTATTTACAGACCGCCGTCATATAGCTGGAATATTCCCGAGTGCGGCGTTAAACAACAAACCAACCAACGTAGATAACGTTTCGTCAAGAGCAGCATCGGCTTTTCAGTTACCTTGTTATGCTGTTATGCTAACGTGACTTGGTGACCAGCAAAAGACGATGTCTCATCAGCCAGTAGAAAGAGCATTATATATATACTCAACAACGAAAGTTCCTGTGACACCAATATTTTAGTGTGCTTTTCAAACAAGTTAAGTTTGGTTTTCAATATTGTAGTACATGTATTGAATCAAGTCACAAAAACGCAAATGCTACAGAAAAGCATGCATTCCATGCAAAAGCCCCATGCATTTCACTCCTCAAGAATGGGTATAAAAACATGTGCGTTAACGGAATTCCACATTCATTGTTTAGCATCGTGCTGACAACAACCACTCAGAACAACAACAAAATTACGCAATTATTCAACATTACAAAATGCCACGCCTGTCCGAAAATGAGCGTCTGCGAGCCATTGGTATGGTTGAAGCAGGATGAGTCAACGTGATGTTGCAAGACAATTTTTACGTCCACAGAAACACCATTTGGTTTTTATGGCAACGTTTGCAACAGACGAATGCAGTCAGAGACCACACTCAGAGTGGCAGGCCACACGTAACCAATAATCGACCAAACTGGATTCGAACAACACACCTACGAAATCGATTCTAGCCAGCAACAGTGACTGCAAGAAGCATCCCTGGCCTTCGACGAATATCTTCACAAACCGTACCTCGCCGCCTCAGATGTGCAGGGATTGTCGCCAGAAGACCCGGCAGACGTCCCATTTTGACAGAAAACCATTGTCAAGCACGTCCACAGTGGTGCAGACAGCGTCTATGCAGTGAGGACAAGTTCTATTCACTGACGATTTTCGTTTTCACCTCAGCCACAGCGATGGACGGATTCGAGTGTACCGACGTCGAGGTGAGCGTTACGTCAATCATTGTGTCATGGAAGAAGAACGGTTCGGGGGCGGCAGCGTTATGGTATGGGGTGGGATTACAGCAAGACAGAGGACCCGTTTGATACTGGTAGAGGGAAATCTCAATGGACAGCGCTACCGCGACAAGATCATCGTCCCTGTTGTTTTACCGTTTTTGCGTCGTCATGGTCCAGACATTACATTTCAACATGACAACGCCCGGCCTCACATTGCTCGGCTTGTTCAGGATTCTCTTCAACAAAACAACGTGAATGTCATCCCCTGGTCGGCTCGCTTCCCTGATCTCTCACCAATCGAGCACATGTTGGATGAGATGGATCGGCGCCTTTGACGTCACCCACGTGTTCCACAGACATTCAAGGAACTTCGAAACATGCTCCAGCAGATATGGACAGATATCCACAGGACTTTGGGCGACGCCTGGTCCTTTCCATGAGACGAAGATATGTTGCTTGCATCGCAGCCAGAGTCTGACACACACGCTATTGATTTGTAAATTGACATTTTGGCATGTTCATGTTTTTTTTATGAAATCACAAATTTTCTGAAGTCAAAATGGCAAATTAAACCATTTGAACACTTACAGGAGTCTTTTATCTGTTGCAAAACGAAATTGTTTCAGATTTGGCAAAAAACATAACTTTGCATTAAATCTTATTCAAAGTCACAGGAACTTTGGTTGCCGAGTAGATATACTTCCATGACAAATACCTTAAGTGCTTGTTGTCTCTGTAGTCGCAGTTAGTGACAGTTGCACTACATCACTTATCTTAATATTGAAAAGGTATATCGATTTAAGCTGTTCAACCCCGAACACCACGCATAGTGCATGTTGCCAAGTGGGAAGAAGGAGACAGTTTTTAATCATGCCTTTACGACTGATTTTGATAACTTTTGGAGGTTTTTGGCTTGTTGAAAGTTCTGCCTCTGTTTGTAGTCTATGCGAGGTAAAGCCATTGTCAGATTTCCAGAACAAGAGAGTTAGTGAGGGTGTTCTGTGGACAAAGACTGATATTACTAGTCGTGCCGAATGTGCAGCGCGCTGCTCCCTCTTCAGTGTGATAAAGTCCTTTGGATACAAGGAGGCCAGTGAAGAATGTGTGGCACATACTGTGCCTCTCACAACACCAGCAGCAATGACGTATGCCAGTGAATCAGGATTCAACATGTATTCAACTTGTGCACCAGGTAATAGAAACACTCTTAAATTACACTTGCAACTGTCATATATCTGACATAAGAATATTAATTGTCAATACCAGAAAATAACCAGTCCAGATTATTTGCAGAAACAGATTCCATTAGACATACAGGGCAAAATACATTGAGCTGTGAAAATTATATGAATGGACCACCGGCAATCGTATCCCAGTTGCGTGGATCGATTGTCATGATGTCAATCACTGCATTGTCTGGTCCAGACCCGATAATTTACACAGACCGCCGTCATATAGCTGGAGTATTGCTGAGTGCGGCGTTAAACAACAAACATTTAACATTAATCAGGCGATGGCAGTAGGGCCTTGCTTACCATGTTCGCGAAAATGGTAAGCATGCCTGGCCCTACTGCCAGCTCCCGCCATTCACACAATTTGCTCAAGAAGTAAGTCTTTATATTGCCTGACGCCGCACAGCAGTACTCCTGCCATGCGACGGTGGCTTGTGTTGTAACAAACCATGACTCATAGTGCATTTATAGATTTTGTTGAAACAAATAAAAACGACATGATAATTTGGAATTACGTCTGCTGTGTACAAGCAAGGCCAGAGTAATCTGACCCATGAAGATTCCGGGGTAGAATAGGTCTTCAGCAACCCATGCTTACCGTAAAAGGCGACTAACGGGATGGTTGATGCATGTCATCGATCCCAATTGCGTGGAACCGTGCTCATGATATTAATCACGGGAGTGTCTGGTCCAGACTCGATTATTTACAGACCGCCGTCATATAGCAGGAATATTGCTGAGTGCGGCGTTAAACAACAAACTAACCAACCAGAGTAATCTATCAAACTGTAGCCACAAGAGATAACCGCAACCCACTACAAACGTAAGCGGAAATGTTATGGAAACAAAAGAATGATAATGCTGATATCGGTACGGCTCTTCGAAGTGGCTAGGACACCGGAACGACACAGATTGTTTCAATGTGTACTGATGTCTTTCATATATCAAGAATTGATAAAAAATTCCACAATCTAAAGAATCTGAAGAATATCTTCAGTTTCATTCCTGCTTTTGTGGTTTTTAACTGATATCCTGAGTAGTCTGCTTGTAGCCTTGAGAACATTCATTAAAATGACTATTTCGTTTTTCGAGACAATCTTTTAACCATTTGTAATTTGCAAATACATGACGGCCCCTTTTCATGGTCCAATCCAAAATTTTCGTTAATTTCTTCAAGGGAAACCTACGTAGAGAGAGGTAATTTTGCAAATCAATTCAAAATAAAAAATAAATTGTTTAATCATATATTTGAGTCAATTCATTTGACTAATGATAAAGAAATCATTGACGTCTCAAAATTAATTTTTAAATTGACTTCAGTTGACGGTGGTGTCAGTACCTGGGGCCAGTGGACTGGACCAGCTTGCCCTCAGACATGTGGGACCTCGCACACCATAACGAAAAGCCGGACTCGAACATGCACGAACCCGTCTCCAGATAAAGGAGGGGCAAGCTGCACAGAAAGCCTCTCGGAAACAGGTGACGTCAACTGTGGTTTGCCCCAATGTCCGTGTAAGTATCACATAATAGGTCTGCACAACCCATTCTTGCCGTAAAAGGCGACTATGCTTGTCGTGAGAAGCGATTAACGGGATCGGGTGGTCTGGATCTCTGACTTGGTTGATGCATGTCATCGATCCCAATTGCGTGGATCAATGCTCATATCAATCACTGGATTGTCTGGTCCAGTCTTGTTCATTTACAGACCGCCGTCATATAGCTGGAATATTACTGAGTGCGGCGTTAAACGACAAACAAACCAACCATTCTTGCCGTAAAAGGCGACTATGCTTGTCGTGAGAAGCGATTAACGGGATCGGGTGGTCAGGATCGCTGACTTGGTTGATGCATGTCATCGTATTCCAATTCCGGGCCCCGTAAAGATTCAGGGATAGAATAGGTCTTCAGCAAACCATGCTTGCCGTAAAAGGTGACTATGCTTGTCGGAAAAGGCGACTGTAACGGGATCGGGTGGTCAGGCTCGCTGACTTGGCTGATGCATGTCATCGATCCCAATTGCGTGGATCGATGCTCATGATATTTTTCACTGGATTTTCTGGTCCAGACTAGATTATTTACAGACTGCCGTCTTATAGCTTGAATATTTCTGAGTGCGGCTTTAAACAACAAACCAATCAGCTATATGACGGCGGTCTGTAAATAAATCGAGTCTAGACCAGACAACCCAGTGATTTATACCATCGATCCACGCAATTTTTTGTTTGTTTGTTGTTTAACGCCGCACTGAGCAATATTCCAGCTATATAACGGCGGTCTGTAAAAAATCGAATATGGACCAGACAATCCTCTCTTCTTAAGGCTTCATGGGACTGTTTTTTATAGTTTATGTTTACAACTCTATGATCAAACAAATTTCTAATGTGCCTCATTAGGGGGAATGTGATAACGTTGTTTTCTTGTTTATTTATTTGATCATGGTAACTTTAATACTGTCTGTTCAAATGAATGTCTTTTCTGTTATATAGACTATCCTAACTTTGGCACGTGCAGCTCCTCTTGTTCTGGGACGAACGTGGTCTGCAACAACGGTTATTGTGTGTGTAGCATAATGTACGTCAAGCTCGACAGCAGCTGTGTCCAGGGTAAGATTTTAAAGCAAATAAGGGACAAGAAATGTGACTGATAAGATTTGTTTGCTTGTTGTTTAACACGCCGCACTCAGCAATATTCCAGCTATATGACGGCGGTCTGTAAATAATCTAGTCTGAACAAGACAATCCAGTGAATAACATCATAAGCATTGATCCACGCAATTGGGACCGATGACATGCATCAACCAAATCAGCGAGCCTGACCACCCGATCCCGTTAGTCGCCTCTTACGACAAGCATAATCGCCTTTTACGGCAAGTATGGGTTGCTGCATGAAGACCTATTCTACCCCGGATCTTCACGGGTCTGATAAGAAACTAAGAAAGCAACTCAGTGGGGATTTTAGAACAAAGCAAATCCAAGCCATATCATTGTCTCAAGAATCCACTTATGAACTTTGATTGTTTGTTTGTCGTTTAACGCCGCACGCAGCTTAGATAACGGCGGTCTGTAAATAATCGATTCTGGACCAGAGAATCCAGTGATTGACATGATCATCGATCAACGCAATTGGGAGACGATGACTTGCATCAACCAAGTCAGCGAGCCTGACCACCCGATCCCGATCCCGTTAGTCGCCCCCTGCACGACGAGTCGCCTTTCACGGCAAGAATGGGTTGCTGAGGACCTATTCAAGCCCGGACCTTCACGGGTCGCAGTATATGAACTGATTCAAACTGATTGTAATTGCTCCCAAAAGGTGTTGTTTTGCCTGGCTCAGATACATTCAAACTGTTGTAATATTTGTTAGAAAGAGCAGATATTCACGCTAATTGAGCACGATGACGTACAAGAAGCAAGTCCAACAGTAAGAGCCCCCTGATTCTAATGTGTCGGCTATGTTCCAATTACAATGACCTCTTTAATAACGACTTAATTCATGCCTCACTCACATGAAATGATTTTCTTCACATTTCAGATTGCGGCGGATCTGGATATGGATCAGGCTTCACCATCTTTCACGACAAAGTCCTGAATGGTTACAACGACAAGATCGTCTCCTCCATTCAAACAATTGACGCGTGTATCAGTCTGTGCCAGGCGGAATCGGGTTTTACTTGTATTACCGCGGACTATGCGCATCAGTCAAAGACTTGCTACTTGAGCAAAACAGCTTGGTATGATGTACCAGCGAGCTCGGCTGGCAGTAGCACCATATATCACCAGGTAATTCGTAATTGTGCTTAAAAGTCGGAAAGGAGAGGTCACTTGTAGCATGTAGGAGAGGTCACTTGTAGCATGTATATATATATTTTGTGTACAAAGAGAACAGTCACGGCGATGCGAAAAAAATATTGCTTTTGCAAGTTCGTGATTTGAGGTTGGTCAGATTTCAGGTAGATCAAGAAGGATGCCCTTACAAAGCTCTACATTATCAGAAGTTAACGGATCGAGTGGGTCAGGCTGTCTCGCTGACTTAATTGGTTGATGCATGTCATCGTATCCCAACTGCGTGGATTGATGCTCATGATGTCAATTTCTGGATTGTCTTGACTCGATTATTTACAGACCGCCGTCATATAGCTGGAATATGGCTTTAACACACAAACAAACTTAAGTGGCTGTGCAGTAGATTCGAGTTCAATTCCCATCACTAATGCCATTGTTGGTTTTCCCCTTCCTATTGTTGTGGTGATCTCGAGCCAATGCTTATAATGTACCATGCACCCTAGCTTCACCAAACTTTCTCCACACATTAACCGCAATGAGTACTTGTGCCTTTTGCTAGTTTGAAGATTCTGATTTTTTTAATTTTTGCCGTTTCCATGGAAACATTAGAAACTTAAACTTTTAGGGGGGGTGTTTTGTACGGCCCATAACTTTTTAACCATGCACACTAGCTTCACCAAACCTGCTACACACATTTATTACAATGAGTACTTGTGCCTTTTGCTAGTTTGAAGATTCTGATTTTTTAAATTTTTGCCGTTTCCATGGAAACATTAGAAACTTAAACTTTTAGGGTGGGTGTTTTGTACTTTGTACGGCCCATATCTTTTTAACCATGCACCCTAGCTTCACCAATCTTTCTACACACATTTACTACAATGAGTACTTGTGCCTTTTGCTGGTTTGAAGATTCTGAATTTTTTAATTTTTGCCGTTTCCATGGACACATTAAGAAACTTAAACTTTTAGGGTGGATGTTTTGTACGGCCCATATCTTTTAATCATGCACCCTAGCTTCACCAAACTTTCTACACACATTTACCACAATGAGTACTTGTGCCTTTTGCTGGTTTGAAGATTCTGATTTTTTTAATTTTTGCCGTTTCTGGGGACTTTTTTTAATTTTTGCCGTTTCCATGGACACATTAAGAAACTTAAACTTTTAGGGTGGGTGTTTTGTACGGCCCATATCTTTTTAACTATGCATCCTAGCTTCATCAAGCTTGCTACACACATTTACCACAATGAGTACTTTCTTATATGATATTGTTCCAGTTTTTATGTGTTTTTATATCAACAATGTTTGGTCCTAATGATAATTCTTCTTATGTAACTCTTTAATTATTTTTTTATTCAAAGGTGTTTTTGGTGATCACCTTCCTCGTAGTGAACACTGGTAACATTGGGGGGGGGGGGGGGGGGGGGCGCAATTATCACTGGAACTCAATCTTAGTTTTTAAACATAGGAGTTAAAATCAGTTAGAAATATGTAATATTTCATTAATTACAAACTATTTACAGTAAACTACGGTTATAACGAACACGCTTATAACGAACTAACGGATATAACGAACTTACTTTTTAGTCCAGACTATATGCTGTAGGTATGCTGTATATATGCTTATAACGAACTACGGTTATAACGAACTAAAATTAGTAGTCCCTTTGAGTTCGTTATAACCGTAGTTTACTGTACTATTTGTTGTTGACCAGCGGGGATAACGGGGGTATGTGAGCTTTGCTCTCTTCTTTCTTGTTCTTTTACTGTCCTTTGTCGACTGGTTTTATAGGCTATATTTATGCTGTATTCTGTATAACTTGATTTAGTCACGCGTGATATGGCTGAAATATTACCGATGTGACAATAAATCTTAACCAACTCACCCAATTATTGCATGCATAGTGTTTAAGCCGGCGCACAACTTCACTCATTTACAGCCACTAGATTATTAACATTTTTATCAGCATTTAAAATTTTCAACAAAACAATGGGCATACATTTTTTTTATGGTTGACAGTCTATACAGAACCGTATCTTCTTGTACTTCAGCAACCCATGCTTGCCGTAAAAGGCGACCATGCTTGTCCTTTTACGACCATGCTTGTCGTAAGAGGCGACTAACGGGATCGGGTGGTCAGACTCACTGACTTGGTTGATGCATGTCATCGATCCCAATTGCGTGGATCGATGCGCATGATATTAATCACTGGATTGTCGGGTCCATATTCTATTATTTACAGACCGCCGTCATATAGCTGGAATATTGCTGAATGCGGTGTTTAATCTTGTACTTGTTGTAATGTCTTCTGTCGACATGTGAGTGCCGTCAAATTTCATAATGTTCATTTTGATGGTTGGTTGGTTTGTTGTTTAACGCCTTACTTAGCAATATTCCAGCTATATGAAGATGTGTTACTGAAGATCTAGTCTACCCCGGATCTTCACGGGTGTGTTCATTTTGAGGATATGTTAGTTATATTATTTCAACTCACCACCCCAATGAGGTTCATGTTTGATCTTTTTTACTGTACTCTTAAACTTTCAAAAACATCATCTGCACCTGTAAATTTGAGTTGACAACAAACAATTGCTTTGAGAAATTGAAAGAGTGAGTGTGTTAGTGAGGTAAGGTTTAATGCTGTTACCAATATGTCCGAGCAATCAGTGCTTAACGTTGAAGGAAAAAATCACCACTCGGTGTTAATTCGGAAGTAATGGAGACAATTCCCTTGCCCTTAACCAAATATTTCCCCATCCTCTTAATATATTGAACAAACTTATCTACTTTTGTTGCCTTGATTCTTTACTTTTCATTCAAATGTTGAATAAAATTGATATCCATCCACGACGAGTCATTCTTCCTTTATGATCAAACATGGGTACTGAGATCTTTGCTCATCACCAGCTTTACGATATGAATATTAATGTATCTTAACACGTACTCTATCGTCTGGGCAGCACAGTTTCTCATTACTGCATTTGTTTGTTTGTTCTTTAACGCCACACTCCGCAATATTCAGGCCATATGATAGCGGTCATTGCGATTATGGATCAAACAACCCAGCGATGCAATGGGCTGCACTGCATTTAACATCTGAAACCTCAAGCTGAGCACTTCGGTCACTTCGGGCCTTTTTTTTTTTTTTATGTCCGAGCAATCAGTGCTTAACGTTGAAGGAAAAAATCACCACTCGGTGTTAATTCGGAAGTAATGGAGACAATTCCCTTGCCCTTAACCAAGTATTTCCCCATCCTCTTAATATATTGAACAAACTTATCTACTTTTGTTGCCTTGATTCTTTACTTTTCATTCAAATGTTGAATAAAATTGATATCCATCCACGACGAGTCATTCTTCCTTTATGATCAAACATGGGTACTGAGATCTTTGCTCATCACCAGCTTTACGATATGAATATTAATGTATCTTAACACGTACTCTATCGTCTGGGCAGCACAGTTTCTCATTACTGCATTTGTTTGTTTGTTCTTTAACGCCACACTCCGCAATATTCAGGCCATATGATAGCGGTCATTGCGATTATGGATCAAACAACCCAGCGATGCAATGGGCTGCACTGCATTTAACATCTGAAACCTCAAGCTGAGCACTTCGGGCACTTCGGGCCTTCCTCCCACATCAAGCTGACACGCCGTGACATAACTGGAATACTGTTATCGGCCGACCTGTTATGGACTATGAAAAGGCCAGGTGTGGAAGGCGGAGACGGGCGCTAGACCGAGCAAAGGGAGATAACACCCTGCAGCCGCAGCGAAAACCATGTGCTCTCTACTGTACAGCAGACGAGCTATGTGCATTTGTGTCCACTAACGGAAACATGAGGGCTGGAATGTGCTCCGACAGTGGAAGCAGGCAACCGAGCATACGAACGAGACCTTATCGGTCCAGCGCCCGCCCGAACCTTGCCACCGAGCACCAAAGGTGCTACGCCATCCACACCTTACCCAAATCAAACTGAGAAAAAAACAAGGAAACAAAAATCTAATGAATGAAATGAAATAAACTATATGGCAAAGAAGTTAATGTTATCAAATGATTCTGATGTAGTGTGTACCTCTCCCCTGATCCTACCGAAGTCTAAGAACACCTGAAAACTGAAAAAAATGTTAAGCATGAAGTGGTGCCGTGTAATGCCCTGGTACCCTTGGGTCCACGTGGTCATGTCGCACAACTCTCACCCTGTAGTTCCGCGACGCGTTTCCCAACGCGCCGGTTTAGGTTTTTTTCTGGATAGCTCTAGCTTCTTTAAGTTACGTCCTCAGCGCCACGGCAGCATCCAGGACCAGATTAGGGTGGTGTCAGGCAGTACCAGTCTTGCATAGAGCAGATCTTCGTAGATGTCCCCACAGAGCATATGGCCTTTTATCTTACCCAAGTCGTTGGAGCCGAGGTGAATAAGAAGGTACTTGGGAGGGCTTCCGGCGACGGGGAGATATTGCAGCGCCGGTCTGAATTTCTTCCAAGTCCATCCCCCTCTTGACCTGGACTTTCCAACGTTATGGACCAACACCAGACAGTAGGGCTGACAGGTGGCGCTCGTTCTGGCCAGATAGCTGTCGCCGATGGCACCTGAAATTGTGTAAACAAGCCAGAAATCGGAAATGGTGGCCTACCTTTTATCTAACATAATTAGTGAAACCGTTTGAAGACCAGCGGCCGTCTTGTTTTATGGTGTCTGCATCCACACTGTTCATGGCTGCTGTAGTTGCGGCGCCAAGTCTAAATGAATGAGAAGTATACTTCTGGTGATGAATACCTAAGAGTGAGACAGATTTTGTTAGCACAGCCTGAAACTGAAATCTAGTTAACTGATTTCCATCAAAATGAACAAATAAGTATGGGAAGCGTGAAGTCCGTGAGGATAAGTAACCGGCCATAGCTGCAACAGGAGATAGAGGGGAAGTAGGTGCCGCTTTTATTAAAAAATGATGTGCCTCTCCTGCTTGGTCTGTTTTTGAGTACCTGAGGCGTACCTGAAGTCGGTTTGTTAGATCTGAAAGTGTTATGTCGTTGATTAGCAGCGCTCTACCGGAGGTACAGTGTATCTGCAATATCTGCACTGGCCTACCCGGAAGACACCGAAGTATGTTAAAGTTTTTTGGTTTTGGTTTGGTTTGGTTTGTTGTTAAACGCCGCACTCAGCAATATTCCAGCTATATGACGGCGGTATGTAAATAATCGAGTCTGGACCAGACAATCCAGTGATTGATATCATGAGCATCGATCCACACAATTGGGATCAATGACATGCATCAACCAAGTCAGCGAGCCTGTCCACCCGATCCCGTTTGTCACCTTATACGACAAGCATAGTCACCTGTGTGTTAAAGTAAAGGCTGCTTTAAAAAGCTTAACCTGATATGTTGAGTAACATACAAGGTGAATTACCTGAAGTATTTTGCCTAACAAGTGCGCAGTGATAGGACGACGGCAGTCCTGCTTAATGTTTGATTTACGTGTACCTTACAGTGCTTTCCTCAATAGGAAAGGTTTTGTAGGATCTGGCATATCTTGCAGTTTGTGCCACATACCTAGCGCCGATATGTATGAGAACAGAGTCCGTTGTG